AAAAATGCATAGGTGAGGGTAGCAGCTGCTAATGAATTAGAGAAAATGGAAATGGTTTTAAATGATGCCACAGGTTTCTGGTTTTGGATTTTTTTTTCTTTTCTTCCTTTAAGAAGGTAAATTAAATGAGGTTTTGTGAAACAAAGTGAGTCTAAAAGAGGAAAGAACAGCCCTAGAATTCCTTCTGAATCTCATCTTGTATCTTCAGGCTGGAGAACTCCAATTCTTGCCAAAGTACCACCTGCCCTCTCTGTGATCCTTTAGGACAAGACAAAAAAGGAGACTGTGTTGTGCTGGGCACAAAGACCACCAGGGAGGCACTCTCTGCTCTTCAAGAAGTAGGTGGATATGGAAAAATATCTACTCATGTCCTCTGCCCTTTTTTAAATTGGATTAATTGGTTTTTTGATGTTGAGTTGTAGAAGTTCTTTATATATTTCACGTACTAACCCCTTATCGGATAGATTATTCATAAATATCTTCTCCCGTATCAATAGATTGCCTTTTTGTTTTGTTGATGGTTTTCTTTGCTGTGTAAATCTTTTTATTTTTGTGTAGTCTCAATGGTTTAATTTGGTTTTGTTTCCCTTGCCAGAGGAGACGTTTCTAGAAAAATGTTTCCATGGCTGGTGTCAAATTCTGCCTATGTTTTCTTCTCGAAGAAAAGAAATGGTCAACAGACATATGAAACAAAGCTCAACGTCACTAATCATCAAGGAAATGCACATAAAACCTGCAATGACATATCACCTTACACCCACCAGAATGGCTAAAGTTAAAAATAAAAGAAATAACAATTGTTAGGATGTGGAGAAAAAGCAACCCTCTTGCACTGACGGTGGGAATGCAAACTGGTGCGGCCAAGAGGTAAACAGTATGGAATTTCTTCAAAAATTTTAAAAACATAATTACCACATGATCCAGTAATTCCACTACTGGGTATTTACTTAAAGAGAACGAAACCACAATTTGAAAAGATACAAGCCCCCCCCCCATGTTTATAGCAACATTATTTACAATAGTCAAGATATGGAAACAGCCCAAGTGTCCATTCACAGATGAATGGATAAAGAAGATGCAGTGTACACACACACACACACACACACACACACACACACACACTGGATTATTACTGGGCCGTAAAAAAGAATGAGATCTTGCCATTTGCAACAATGTGTGCAGATCTAGAAGGTATCATGCTAAGTGAAAATGAACAAACAAAGAAAAAAAGAGACACAGAAAGCCAGATTCTTGAATACAGAGAACAAACTTGTGGTTGCCAGAGGGGAGGTGTAGGTGTGTGGGGGTTGGGTGAAATAGGTGAAGGGGATTAAGGGTACATTTGGGATGAGCACTGAGTACTTAAAGCATTGTTGAATCAGCCTATTGAAGACCTGAAACTAACCTAACACTGTAGGTTAATTACACTTCAGTAAACAGAAACAAAGAAGTGGGCTTATTTCCTTCAGTAGATAGGTCACATTAAAGCTAAAACTGCTGCTAGATATCACCTGGTGGTTTTCAAAGTATATATTTTCAAACCTGGAACACTTTGTTCGGAAACAATATAATCTGATTGTAAAAAGGGGCACAGTTAACACCGCTGCTGTGGGTGTGAGGGGTCTAGAGCCCCACCTACTGGGAACTTCCACTTTTTTCCTTTTCCTGGGGGTCTTAGGGTGAGTGTTGTAGGGGCTATGGACGTTTTGTAAAAAACCGAGCTGGTTTAATCCCCTCCTTCTACAGATGGGAGGAAATGAGACTGGACAGGGACAGTGTCCCTGTCACACATGTTGCTTCTTTAAAATAGTTCAGCTGACTCGCCTATAAAATAATCACAATTTTTTAACAAAAGGATAAAGAGTAATACACTGGGGAAATACTAAAGAAAGTAACAATGTAACAATGACTAAGAAAAGCAAGACTCCAAAATTGACACTAAAGGTTGTCACCCAAACCTGTTCTTTCTGTAGCAAAGGAGATTTTACAGAGAGGTATGTCTTTTGAAATAGGATTTTCTTTTATTTGTTTTTTTCTCCAATTTGGAAAATAGTTTTGAAAATATAGAGAAGTGCAGAAAAATAATATAAAAAACTACCATGGGCACATGTTAATCTTTTATCTTCTTTGCTATATATATATGTGTGTGTGTGTATTTATATAAATACATATATATACATATATATACATGTATACATATGTACATACATATATATACACACATGTGTATTTATATATACACACACATATATATTACATATTTATATGTATATGTATATTATATATATCTGTGGCTCATAAATGTAAGAAAGCAAGCTGCAAAAGTCCAGTAGTTTAAACCAGAGGAATCTACATGAAGACGAAGTACATAACATTAGCTAATATAAAATATTTATGATGTATATATGAGATATATATATATCTCCGAAGCAAAGGAGACAAAAATATATATTTAAAAATATATATTTTAAAAAATATATTTATATTATTGTAATGTAAATATAAATATATATTAAGATAAATATAAATTTATATTTACATTAAATATATATAAATGTAAAATATATTTTCCATTTTAAAATATAGTATATTTTATATATTTATAATTATTTATAAGATTTAGAGATATTTAAATTATTTATATATGTGTTGAAAATTTTTTAAAAAGCACATAAGGTACAATTGAAATTGTCTTCCTATTACTTTTTACTTTCTTCTCCCTCCTCCATTTCCAGAAGCAAACACACTCATGAATTAACCTGGACCCTTATGTCCAATAAATATATTTGTTTGCTTGTTTGACCCATAAAAGAGATTTTTTATTATCAAAATATTAATTGAAATTAAGTGGATCTTAACATAGTTAACATGACTGCCTTGAGATAATAAAAAGATATATTTGCTGAGAGAGGCAGTTTTAGCAACTTTAACCACATGTGAACTAGAGCCCTGAAAAGACTGGCCTTAGATTTCTGAAATACCTACAAAGTCTACCACTGTGTATTATCTTATTCCTTGGATCCTTGTGCAGGGCCTGTCTCCACTTTATCCTTCCACTTCTTGAGTCTTGGTTATTTGGTTAATGAGCTAGAAGACAGAAAAGTCTCTTAAAGTCAGAGCCAGCGAAAGCATACATGACAGCAGAGGTGACAAGCAGTGTCCTGAGTGTGGAGGAAGCAAATGGAAAATGACCAGAAACGGGCTCTCTGCATATGTGATACTGGGGAGAGAAGATGTTAGTTATATCAGGGAGGCAGAGAGATGGGATCTTTTAGAAGGATTTCCACCAAAAATGATTGGAAGTTTAAAAACTCTCTAATGCTTTGGGGCTCTGGCTGCTGCATGGCCCTGTTCTGTATGCTGGCTCTGTCACTTACTAGGTAGATGACCTTAACTTCTTCATATTTGGGTCCTTCCAGGAAAATGGGAATAATAATAGTACCTACTGCACAGAGATGTTGTCAAATGAGGTGAGCTAATCCACGTAAAGCATAGGAACCATGGAGGGCACAGAGTAAGCACGTGATATGTGCAAGGTGCTAGTAGTTAGTAGTAGTGGCAGTGGTTGTGGTAGTCAGTAGTAGTTACCATCCTAGTGGTGGTAACATTTGAAAAACCAGCTCATGTGGAAGAGTTCATAAACTGGTGTGTAGGAGTGGGGACTCTGGAGACTCATTCTGTCATCTGGATCCCCTGCACCCTTTTGACCAACTGCGTGGGCCTGGGGACAATGACAGTACGGAGGTTCTAGGGCTGCTGTGAGCATTCGGGGGGTGTGGAAGGTGCTTACTGTCATGTTCGAAGAACATCCTCAATCAACTTTCGCTGTTCTAAATCTTCCAGATACATCATGCCTAGTGTTCTTAAAGCACATCCTTTTTAAAGTGTAGAAGCAAGCTCACAATTTCCCCCCAGCAAGAAGTCAAGGGAAGCAGGAGGAAGGTTCTGAGTGCGTTGATTAGTTTACACGGGAGCAATCTGTCTCGGTTCAGAAGGCCTGTATGCAGTCATTGTTTTAAGTACAGCTCTGTCTAGTCCCACCCTTGCAGAACTACAAGGAAACCCAAAAGGTGGGCTCTTTTTTCTTGAACAGGGATTGCTAAGCTCCCTGTGAAATTCTTTCTGATAAAATCCCCAAAGGAACAGAGGCCTAGAAGATGTTCTTAAAAATAGGCCAGTGAATTCTGAAAGTGCTTTATAATTCCAGAGTATTTCCACACACATTAACAGCACTAATATAGCAAAATTCTAGGAAAAGAGCTATTATCCCCATTTGTCAGAGGAGGAACTGAGGCACCAAGAATTTCAGTGACTTGCTCAAAATTCCTCTGTTAGTAAGAGAAGAATCCAGCTCTTCCCTGCTTCAAGTACAGAACATTTATGACTCACGCATGACCCAGTGGAATGTTCTTTACTGGCACGTACTTGTCTGTGGGAACGATGTCATTCCCCCAAAGTTTTTGTTACCTTATTGGTTTTAGGCAGCTTTGTTCTAAGTCCCATACCCTTACCAGTGACCTCATATATGCAGCGTGTGTGCGTGTGTACGTGTGTATGAATGCGTGCACACACACACACACACACACACACACACACACACACACACACACGTATGCACATGCTGGGGCCAAGTGAATTTTTTTCGCATTTTATTCCTTTTCAAGTGGACTTTCAAAAGATGAGGATCCTAGATTGAGGTTGAAGACCATTGTGATTCAGCCAGATTTTGAGGATGTTAAATCACGTTTCTGGGTTGAAGCCTGGGAAGTAATTCAGTCCTAACTGAAGGGGGTTGGGGAAGGTTTTTCACTTTAAATGAACCTTTCTTTTTTTTTTTTTTTTCTGAAGGCATGATCTAATTTCTTTTATAAAAGAAGAGCAAAAGAACTTTTGCTGCAGTCTCCAGCTGTCACCGGCCTCCCATACTTTTGCCCTGCAGCAAAAGGAAGGGACATCAGGTGACAAACCCCAAATTTCAACTAGTCACACAAATTACAGACCTTCTTATCATGATGTCCTCTTGACCTTTTGCCTTTCCCCTACAATGAAGAATGAGACACAGTTTAAATCAAAATGACTCTCATGGGCAATTTTACAAAACAAATAGCACAGAGCCTCCCCCCACCTCCTTCCCCCAGCTTCCCCCGCTGGGCCAGCCTGTTCCCTCTTTCTATGCAGGCAGGAGCTAATAATTAGAAAGACCTTTCCCACCCCAGACGATCCTGCCTTGCTTGCCAAGAGCCCTGTTTGATTTGAAGAGAGAGTTTGACAAAGTAAATATTTACAACAACAACTATAGTCAGATGCCAAGTCCCGCTTCTAGGGGACACTGAAAAGAGTATTTCCAAGAAAGGGCTTCTCCGTGTGGCACCGCGCCGTCCAATGGTGGACGCTGACCTAAGGTCTGTTCTGGCTCCGTCAGGGTTTCGGTGAGCCTTTCCACTTCCATGCTAGGACGCTTTTCACAGAGCACAGGAATAATTACATTTGCCATTGAACAGCCGATTCAGAAACGTACCCATTCGAGACCACAGGAAATAGTCTTTATAGATGACTGCCCCAGCACTAGGGGAAAGCTTCGTGAAGTCAGCAGAGAGGATATGAAAGGCAGGGCTAATTAGCCCTCCTTAAGTGTCTTTATTAAAACAAAACTTTTTTTTCGGATTCAGATCGATTACCGCAGAAAATCTAGTGATGTTTGTATTACCTGTAGATCTGTTGTCTGTAACACGGTAGGACTTGAGAGCTCAAACATGGTGAGAATCAAAACAGGTGCCCCCGCCTGTTCCCATTATGCACATTAGCCCGTGGCCTTCGCACAGCCTGTTAAACAGCTGAATTTGAAACAATCGTGGTGCAGGCCAAACACTAGCCCGAAGGCCTGTCTGTCTAGGGATTTGGCCATTTACATCAGTTTTTTTTTGTTTTTTTTTTTTTTACCCACATTTTTCATGAAACACAAATATTTGCCATGGCAACTGGGGTGTCACATGACACGCTGCTACATAAACAGCTTGGAAATCTCTTAAGGGGACACAGCCCACCAGGGCTGCAAATGCAGGGAAAGCATCTTGAGGAAGATTTGGGTGTTAAGATGGTCTGGGAAGAGCAGGTAACAGTCTACTACGTAGAGACAGTAGAATTCATTTCTTCTCTGCCACTCTTCCATTTCTCTTTCTTCCTTGCTTTTTTTAATCTTTTTAATGGAGCAGCTATAAATATGACCACATAGGGTAAGCTCAGAAAAAGACCCTGCCAGGTGTCTCCTTTTTCTGGTGAAAAGTTTCAATTATCACAACTCTGTGGCTTATAAACGTAAGAAAGCAAGCTTCAAAAGTCCAGCACCTTTAAACCTGGACAATCTCCAGAAGGATTAATTATGTTGTACCGTGAGGTCCTAATGTTAGAGAAGACAGAATTTCTTCCCTTTCCTCATTAGAATATCTTTGCCAAACTGGAGAGCTTGCTTTTTATCCTATGCTTAAAGACAATGAAGTAGAGTAAAACCGCGTAAGAACATACCCTGTGCAACATGAATTTGGATATAAAGCAATAGCTTTCATATTCAGGACTCTTGACCCAGTTAGTGGTATGGGTTGGCCCAGTCATTTAGTCACAATGTGACATGATTGAATTTTTTAAGACCCTGTGGATACTGTCATGATAAAGTTTGCCATGCCGTACATTGCTGTACAAACAGCAATCCCCCTTTAAAAATCAAATGCTTCCCAGCAACCAAAATAGTATTTATTTCTCTATGAAAGTTACAACTCAGTAATATGTGTGTATTACTAAACATCTAACGGAGAATATTGTATTTAACAATTTTCTTCTGTTAGTTAAAAGCATGAGGGGTGCCTGGGTGGCTCAGTGGGTTAAGCGTCTGCCTTGGGCTCAGATCATGATCTCAGGGTCCTGGGATCGAACCCAGCATTGGGCTCCCTGCTCAGGGGTGAGTCTGCTTCTCGCTCTGCCCCTGCCTCCACTCATGCGCTCTAAATAAATAAATAATCTTAAAAAAAAAGAAGTATGAATACCTTTGATCTTTGTTTCTTGGAAGAGAACTTCTTTGCTTCCACGGGAATCGGCTGTGGTTTTGGAAGTGTAGCCAAAGGGGCTGTGGATGGAGGTGGTGCATTGTTACCTCTTCCAGAAAAAGGCTGAGTCACTGGGTGGATGCTATTGGGTCTGCCACTTGAAAGTCAAATGGCTCTGTCACTGTTCACTATTGTCTTGCCTGTATCAATTCAATGAAACGTTTGTGAACACTGATTTCAAAAGGAAAGCCAAAAGCATGGGATAGCAACTGTTCCTTCAGAATATAAGGTCAACTCATTTTGTGCACACTCCCCAGACAAAAAGGCCCATCTTAAAAGCAAGCACATTAAAGAGTAATATTTGTCATATAAAAACATTTTGTGCGGTGCCTGGGTGGCTCAACTGGTTAAGTGTCTGCCTTTGGCTCAGGTCATGATCTTGGAGTCCTGGGATCCAGCCCAATGTTTGGCTCCATGCTTTGTGGGGAGTCTGCTTATCCCTCTCCCTCTGCCCCTCCCCCTGCTTGTGCTCTGTCTCTCTCTCAAGTAAAATAAATAAAATCCTCACAAAATTTTTGCTATAAGAGCTCTTCAAATAGCCATATTCCCAAGTTCATTTAATAAGGAAGTTAATATAACTGCACATGGTAGACTATTCTATTGTGTGGTCAGTAAAAAAGATGATTTTGAAGAATTTAAATGGGTTGGGAGAAATAATACAAGTGAAAAAACACAGTAAATATCATTTTTGAAATTAATTAAATCTCAGAGCAACAATGTTTAGAGAACACATCTGGTCCATAGGTGGTAGGCCTCCCTGCTAGACAATGCTTGGGAGAGAAATCATATCTCTCCTGTCGCCTGGTGGCAAATCCAACTGCCCTGTACAAATAGCTCAAGTCTGACATTCTCAGGGGTGAAAAATCCATATACTACTCTTTCCAAGAAGAAAACAAAAATAGTTTATTTAAGTAGTAAATTGAGTCAAAGAAGTGAGGCTTCTTTCAACTCTCTTAGTTCAACCCCTTCTCTGTCCATTTCATCTGAGAAAGTATAGGCGGACACCGATCAAATACAGCACACCAGCGCACAGTTTGGACCCAGTTCACATTTCACAGGTTGGCCGCAAGCAATCTCTTCGGCCATCTCTTAAAAAAGTAGTAGGGATTCCAGAATCTAATAATAAAATTTATCTCCACAAAAGGCATTTGTTGGTTGCCTCTGATCAAGCTGGTTTGACCTGGTTTTCGGTTTTCTTGGCTCGTCCCTTCCTGGAGCCTGGCAGTTGCCTAGACTGTGCGAAGACTCCTTTTTTTTTTTTTTAGATTTTATTTATTTATTTGACAGAGATCACAAGTAGGCAGAGAGGCAGGCAGAGAGAGAGGGGGAAGCAGGCTCCCCGCTGAGCATAGAGCCCAATGTGGGGCTCAATCCCAGGACCCTGGGACCATGACCCGAGCCAAAGGCAGAGGCTTAACCCACTGAGCCACCCAGGTGCCCCTGAAGACTCCATTTTAAACATACAGGTTTTGCCTTGACCTCTATGCTCTCCTACCCTGTTGTTCACTTGGACTATGTCCTCCCACATCTGAAGACCACGCCACACCCGGACACTTGGGCTACTTGAAATCCACAGATTCACCTGTAAAGCCCTGTTATTCCTGGTGTCTGCAGGCTCAGTGTACTGTTGGTTAAACTATCAGGTTCCTACAGATGAGTGTGAGATTTATGGTTAAGTTCTCACGTTGAAACAAAACAGCAGCTGACAAGTTTTTGGGTAGGCATAATTTTGAAAGGATTTTAGTAAAATTTTAATGAAATTTGGTAGATAAAGATCTAAAATATTTGTAATTTCATATGGGTAATCCACAGTTAATGGTATATCTAAAATTTCTAAAAAGTTTTTATTAGTTACCTGCAGAAATTCTGTCACTGAATTATAACTGCATGTAGCCTTAACTTTTTTGGGACACATGCATTTGAAGAATGTGCATCTCCAATAGAATTATATCATAAGGTACTGCCTGTATTTTGCTATTCAATTTTCCTTCTGGAAAGATCTGTATGATAAACTTTGTCAGAGTTAATAATATCAGGAGGAAAAAATCTTGTCTTTCTGGACAACCCTGTATGCTTCTATGTTAGTTCCTGTTATGTACATGCCCAATAACGTTTCTTTCTTGCTAATTTTAAAACATATTCTTTTTTCAATATGCCCAGCTCCAAAGGACACCAGATTTAGCAAACAAAATTTTTAGAGGACATACAGTTACATTTTAATTTTAGATAAACAACAAATAATGTTTTAGTGTAAATATGGCCCAAATAGTAAATATATTTAATATCCAACAAAGAATTTTTATGAATGAATTGTAACGAGCATAACTTATTGTGTAAGAATTCAGTATAAGTATGTCCCAAATCCTGACCTTAACCCTAAACCTAACTCCAGGCCTAGACATTCACTTTCTCAGCCTTTCTTAGACCTAACAGTAGCCATATGATCAGTGAGATGTAAGGGGAAATCCATCCAGGGTTTTCTGGGAAGAAACTGGTAACCACTGTTTTCCCCTCTTTCTGCCTCGAATGTGTACGTTAAGGCCCAGATCTGTAGGAGCCATCACAGAACCAGGAGGTGGCAAGCATGAGGTTGAGCTCAAACATCCAAAGAAGATAAAACAGAAAGAGAGCTGTTTCGATTCTTCCATTGAGTACCACCAGCCCTACACTGCCTACTCCCTGATTTCTTACATGTGAGACAAATGAACTCTTCTCATTGGTTAAATCACTGGTAGTTAGGTTTTCTGATATTTGCAGTCCCATACATTCCTGGCCGATGCCCCTTCTCCCTCCCTCCTTGTCTCCATTCCATTCTTTGTCTTATTGTGTGTGCTAGGGCCTCGAGGACGTGTTCAATGACGGTGGCAGTAGTGGTCATTCTTGAACTGTCTCTGCTTTTAATGGCAAGATAGAATGCTCCTAAAGTTTGCCTACTAAGAATATTGGCTCTGGGGATTTGGCTGAAGGCAATAATCAGGGTCAGAGAATACTCTTACACTTCTACTCTGCTCAGAGGTACCCCCCCCGCCAATTATTAATGTTGAGTTGCATTACGTGATTTTTAAGTTTTCTCACATATGGAGATGATCATAAGATTTTTCTTTTTTAATGTAATTCATTTCTAGTTTCATACCATTGTGATTAGAAAAGAAGCATGGTATGATTTCAATTATGAGCAGGGAGCCTGATGTGGGGCTCAATCCCAGGATCCTAGGCTCATGACCCGAGCTGAAGGCAGATGCCTAACAGGTACTGAGACACCAAGGTGTCTCAAGCATTTTTCAATTATCTTAAATATATTAAGATTTGTTTTAATATATACTCCCCTAGTAACTACTGATGTTAAGCATGCTTTCACTTACATATCTACCACCCATGTGTCTTCTTTGGTAAAATTTCTGTTTTAATCCTTTGTCTATTAGGTTATTGGATTGCTTATTTTCTTATTGAGTTTTGAGAGTTTTTATATATTCTGGACAAAAATTCTTTATCAAGTACATGTTTTGAAATATGAATTCTCAATCTGTAGCTTTTCTTTTCATTTGCTTAATATCGTCTTTAAAAGAATAGAAGTTTTAAATTTTGATGAAGTCCAATGAACCCATTTTTTTACTTTTATGGATTTATGGTATTTAAAAAATCTTTGCCTAACCCAAGGAAACAAAAATTTTCCCCCTTTGTTTTCTTGTAAAAGTTCTTAGTTTTAGACTTTACATTTAGTTCTATGATCCATTTTGAGTAAATTTTTATACATAGTGCAAGGGATGGGTCAAAGTTCTTTATACGTCTATCTTCAGTTGTTCCAGCACCATTTGTTGAAAAGACTATTCTTTTTCCATTAAATTGCCTTTGTGTCCTTGTTGAAAATCAATTGACCATATATGGGTAGATCTACTCCTGAACTCTCTATTCTGCTCTATGGGTCTCTGTATTTATCATTTTGCTAATACCACACTGTTCTGATAACTATAACTTTATACTAACTCAGATAACATGAGACCTCCAATGTTCCTTTTCTTTTTCAAAATTCTTTTGGCTATTGTACCATCTTTGCTTTTCCATATAAATTTTAGAATTGGCCTGTCAATTTCTACAAAAATATTCTATTGATCTTGATTTGGAGTGCATTGAGTATATAGACAACTTTGGGATGATTAACATAACAATATTGAGTCTTTGAATCTGTGACCATGGCCTACCTTTCCATTTATTTAGGTCTTATTTGAATTTTTTTTTAGTTAGCATTTTGGAGTTTTAATATACAGATCTTGCACATTTTTTTTTAGTTTTCTGCCTAAGTATTTAATTATTTGGTATTATTTTAATGGCATTGTTTTTGTTGTTGTTGTTTTAAATATACACTACACGTGGGCTCAAACTCGTGACCCTGAGATCAAAATTCACATGCTGTATTGATTGAGCCAGCCAGACACCCTGGCATTGTTTTTTAAAATTCAATTTTCAATTGTTCATTTCTAGTGTATAGAAATTCAATTATATTTTATATGTTAATTTGGTATCCTGAAACCATGCTAAACTTTCTTATTTATTCTATTATCTTTTTTTTAGATCTTGCAAATTTTCTATGTAGTAATCATTCTGTTCCTAAAGAGAGACAGTTTAATTTCTTTATTTTTGGTTCTTTTTCTTACCTCATTGTATTGACTAGGACTTTCCATACAATATTGAATAGGTGTGGTAAGAGTGGATGTCCTTGCCTTGTTCCTGATCATAATTATAGAGAAAGCAGTTGGTCTTTCACTATTAAGTATGATTTTAGCGGTAGATGCCCTGTATCAGGCTGAGAAAGTTCCCTTTTATTTTTAGTTTGCTTAGGTTTTTAAAAAAAAAATGTATTATTGTTGAATGGATGTTGCATTTTATTTTATTCTTATGTATTAAGATGGAGATGGTCATATGGTTCTTGTTCTTTAGTTTATTGATATGATGATTTACATTGATTGATTTTTTTTAAGTGTCAAAACAGTCTTGCATTATTAGGATAAACTATACCTGGTCATGATTTATTATTCTTTCTTTATATTATGGAATTCAATTTGTTAATATTTTGTGGAGGATTTTTCTATTTTCATGAAGGAAAACAGACTGGTTTTCTTGTCTTCTAATGTCTTTAGTTGTGATATCAGGGTGAATGCTGGCTTCCTAAGATGATCTGAGGAGTGTTTTCTCTTTTTTATTTTCTGGAAAAATTTGTGAGGAATTGGTAATATATTAACCTCTTGTTTAAATCTTTTAGTGGGCTCTTGTTATACTTAGTTAAATCCAACTCCTCATCGTGGTTTGCTAGTTCATGCTAGTTCTGCTATAGTAAAATATGTTTACAGGGAAAGATCCTAAAACTCATAGAGTGGTTTAAACCAATTAAGAGTTTATTTCTCTCTCACACAAGAGTTGAAAGGAAGACAGTCCCAGGTTGGTAGGGCAGCTCTGCCGGACTTGGGAGATGGAACATGGAGTTCCCCCTGTGGCTCTCAAGTGCTTCCCTATCACATCTGCCTCCCAGCTAGCCAGAGAGAGGAAAGGAAAGGGGGAGACCATGCTCCTTTCCTCTTATAGGCTCAGCCCAGAAGTTTCTCTTCCTATTTTGCTTTCTTCCTCTTTGTCCAGAACCTGGTCACAGGGCACAGCTAGCTGGAAGGAAGCCTGGGAAATGTTGTCTTTAGCTAAGCTGACATGTGCCCACTCATGGCTCCATTACTGTGGAAACAGGGAAGAATGAATACTGAGGACAACTCGTAGTCTCTGCTCCAGCCTATGTCATGTCATTCCCCTCTATTTTCCAGCATCATCTCCTCCCTTCTTTCCCTGGCTTTTGGCTCTCCAGCTATACCACCCTTGCTCATTCCCTCTTTAGTCCTTAGGCCCTTGTATCTGTGCTGGCCTATCTCTAGAATGCTTTTCCCTAGATCTTTTCTTCTTCTGATCGTTTGTACCTCAACTCACCTCAACTCAAGCCTTATGCATCTTCTGAGAGGCATTCCCCGACCCTTCCCTCACAAGCAAAGTGACCACTTCCTTATCATTCTCTCATTCATGTTGTTTTATCTCTAGCACTTACCACTAGCTCAAATTCTCATTTACTCACCTGCTTGTTATCTGTTTCTCCCACTGGAATGTAAGCACCATGGGGACCGAAATGTTGTCTGAGTTATTCTATTCTCTGTTGGATCCCCAGCCCTTAAATGCTACCTTTGATAAAGCAAGCATTCAACAAATATTTGTTGAACAGATGAATTCATTTAGCCGCAACCCCTTTATTTTATAATGGGGAAGCTGGAGCCCAGACAAAGGAAATGGCTTGCCCGAGTTTCCACAAGTAGTAGAGTCCCATGTTGGCACTTTTCTTGAACACCTGATTTTATCTAGGCTCTTCTTTGAAGTCTATTATCTCCCCCCTCCACAACTGTCCCTTGAACACCTGTAGCACTAGACTTTAACATCCATTGGGTTTATATGCCATGCTTCTTTGTATTGTTATTTATCTTTGTTCTGTCTGTATTGTTTTCCCAACCAAGCTGCGAGCCCCCTGAAAATACCAACCTTCTAACCCAACAGGCCGTGTGTCGGTATTCGATGAAGAGACTAAAGTTACTTTATTTAGTCAAGTGAAAACTCAGAACTGTTACAGCTGTCATCTTGTCCTATAATTGCAGATACAAGTTGGATACTGGAAGACTAGATTTTGGTGGGAGGTAATTCCTGTGTATCCCCAGTCAAGCGTTCAGGCAAGACTGTCTTACCGGCAGTTGGGATCTTATGTGCTTCATCAAAATTATGCAAAGGAGCTGCTCTTGGTACAATGGGTGGATTCTGAAAGGTAATCCTTGCTGTTGGTGGAATCAGTCCTCGTTCAATCATACTTAAAATCCCTGAAAAGGAAGGTTAAAAGAATATGATTTTAACTCCAAGCATTTCTACAAAGTCTGAGCTCTATGAATTTCTCAAGTGTAACTTACTCTACTCATCTTATTTGTGAAAGCACATCTAGTGCCTTAATCCTTTGCATGAAGAAAACACTATAGTACATGTTCTTTTAAGCTTAATATTCTAACCCAAGATAAAATGGCATTTCCCATAGTGGCATTATGAAATAAACTGTATTAAGATAATTTCAGGATGCCTGGGGGGCTGAGTTGGTTAAGCATCTGCCTTTGGCTTGGGGTCATGGTCCCAGGTTTCTAGGGTAGAGCCCCACATGGGGCTCCTTGCTCAGTGTGGAGCCTCCTTCTCTCTCTGCCTCTGCCTGCCGCTCCCCCTGCTGTGCTCTCTCTGATAAATAAATAAATAATATCTTAAAAAATTCATTTTAAGGTATTTAAGGTAAGTGTGATCTAAAACTTCTTTATACATAACATTTCCAATGATCGATAATTGTTATTCTTTTTAAAATTTGGAGAAATCAAGTACACAGTCTTCATAACCAAGGAGAGGTTTTGTTCTGAAAGAAAGAAAATCTATGTGCTTGTAACTATTCCCCTGTTGTTACAATGAGTCATATTTTATAAAAGAAAGTTATTTTTAGGGGCACCTGGGTGGCTCAGTCAGTCAAGCAGCTGACTCTTGATTTCAGCTCAGGTCATGATTTCAGTGTCATGAGATTGAGCCCCATGTTGGGCTCCATGCTGGGCGTGAAACCTGCTGAAGATTCTCTCTCTCCCTCTCCCTCTGCCCCTCACATTCTGCTCTTTCAATATCTCCCTCTAAAAACAAAACAAAACAATAACAAAGAGAAAGTTATTTTTAGACATTTCTCACATCATCAGAAGATGTGATTGCCCAAATAGATGAATTTAGTGTAATTGTGCAACATGGATAGTATTAACGCACCTAATTGACAATTCCTAGAACTCGTACTATATCCGCATGGCTGGGGCCAGCGCTTTTGAAGGACAAAAGACTGTTAAATAAATTAATCAATCAAGGAAGAATTGAGCAAAGCCTTCTGGCAGGTGTAATGCTTTCATTAAGGTGGATCTATTGTGTGGAAGCCAGAAAGCCAGGGAGGATGTGAAACACACTTGTGATAGGGCTTCAGCCTCTTGTTGCTCTCGTGTAATAGGAAGGACAGTAAGGCACTCTGGGTCTCAAGGAAATCCTCGTCTGCAAGCCGTGTACCAAGCTGGACTAAGCTGAAGAAGTTGGCACAAATTCTAAGGGGAGCAAATACGGTTTCTGTTTGTCTGAGGACCTCGATGACAATGTTATGTTGTTATTAAGGATACTGAAGTCTAGTATTACAGGAATTCAGAGAAAGGAACACTGAGGGATTGGGGAGCTGGAGAAGACTTCACTTGTAAAACAATGATTCCAAAGAGAAATCTTCAGTTTGCTTACTGCAGAATCATTTTGGGGGGAGAATTTCTTATTAAAATGAAACTCCTGGGCCCTCTCCTGAGCCTGTCTAAACTTCTGAGATCAGGGCCTGAGGATCTGCATTATTGAAGCCTCTAGGACATAATTTATGTGCCCTGAAGTTTGAGAGTCGGTACAACTGGGGCCCAGTAATCTACATTTTTTAGTAAGCATTCCAGATCAATCTTTTGTACTTCTAAAATTTAAGAACTGCTCATCCAGAGTACAACTCTTTAAGCTCCATTTGAAATGAGGACTTCAGGTTTTAATTTTTCTAACACTGGATTTAACTACTTTAAGATATTAAGAGTAATTCTTTGTCCTCACAACTATTTTCCACCCTTAAATATTAAATCCCGTTTCCAAGACCTATGCCTGATTTGCAGATGTGAAAAACAGAGCTCCTTCTAATTCCGTATATTTTCATTACTGAACTCAGAGAGAATCCCAAAGAATATAGGCATGATTTTAACTTTTGCTTTAGTACTGGTTGGAGTAATTAACTTAATTTTAGATAAACACATGTGTGTACATTTACCACCAGAAGGAAAAAGTTAAGACTTTGGGATAAGCAAAAGAGGCTGGGTATCTTTTCATTGAAATGCTGGAACCTCTGGAGGTTATCTGACCCCTGTAATCACCTTTGTTTTTGATGAGTCTTTTTTACAGTTCTCTAGAGATTAAGATTAATTTATAGAAAACTGAAATCAGTGCAAATATTTCTTGTTTTATATACATGCGAATAAACTGTCACACAGAGGGATGATGGTTCTGTCATCCCCCAAAAGCCAGTGGTGTGTCCATTTGCAAATTTATTTCACTACTCTTGATTTGTAAAAGTGTCTATTTGGATTCTCCTTGGAACTAATTGTAACATCCTACTGATACCCTCATTTAATCAATGAGTTCAATAAAATCTTTGATGTGTTCATTTTATAGTTGTATAAGAATCATGATTTTACTTTAAAATATATATGTCCTTTAATAATTTTGGAGATCTTGCCAAGATGAGCAGAAGAGTCACCTGAAATTGGAAGAAATGATGCACTGCACAGGGAACCAGGTCCAGGCATATATTTTGTTAGCAAATTTAAAGTGGCAATAGAAATTTATTGACTGTTTTTCTAATTTCAGTATTACTGCCTATTAAATTTTGTTTTTGTTTTATTTTTCTTTTTCGGTTCGTGTATGTCTAAGTTATTCCTTATTGGTAGATACAGTGACTGGGAATTTGGTGATCTCCATAAATGGATTAATTTATAGAGATCTAATTCCTTGTTGAGTGAGGGGACAATAGAGAAAATAGTTTGTCAGTCTTTTGCTTTTCCACTTGTGTATTTTGAGCTCAAATCAGCTAAGAATGTCATGCCCACAAAGAAGGTGGTATCTGGACCAGAAGGTGTGTTTCAGTGTTCATTTTCCATCTGTAGCTTAAATTATAGAGTTGACACTATAAGCTATGCCTGTATCTGTAAGTCTATGTATCTGTCATTCAGAAAGGCCTTTATCTCTCATTGTGAATATAGAATGTTTTGCTGTCTCCAGATGGTACTAATAAATTAGATTGTAAAGTCTCAAATTGAAGAAACTCTGTTCAGGTTGACTTACAGAGAGAAGTAAGTGCTTATGTAAATCGAATATTCTTAAGATTTCTAGGAAATAAGGAAATCAAACTTCTAATAGTTTAAATGGCTCACCATTGTCTCCCAAATTCAGAAACTCTCTTTGAGGCTCTTTACTTTTCATGGCAATAAGTTACTTGCATAGTTTCAGTAAAAATCTGCTCTCCTTTTACTAAGATATAATTGGAAAAATCACTTATGCAACTAAGACCTTGTCTGGAATTTCATATTTCAGAATGATACTTATTAATCATGAATGACAAGTCATTTTTAAAGAACTAAGGTTGACTTTATGGAGCCAATGTTCACAAAGCCTTCAAAAAAACCTGGACTGGTACATGTTTATAGCGTTTCCATTCTTGCAGGTGGTAGGAAGGTCATGTCCAGGCCCAAGAACATTAGGATATTTGGAACTCTTCTTGACAAAAAGAAATTACCCAAATTTATAGGTCCTGTAGTTGAAATGTGGTGGGCAGAGTTTCTTGGGCTTGATTTCCTAGCCTTAAGATAATAATAGAGGATTTTAAAAGTTCAATCAGATTCCTTAGGAAAATTTCCAGCAGACCAAACTTAAGACAGATTATTCTTGCCCACCTGTGTAAATAATCAGAACAAACCTAAGGAGACCAGCCTTATTTTGGGGGGAAAAATTGTTTTTGGAGATCATTTTAATGAAAATTGTGGAAGACTGTAAGAATATTTTTGTTTAAGTTTTGGAATAAGCAAAAGAGATTACTGGACACCTTTTGAATGGAATGCTGAAGTCTTTGGGAATTATCTGGACTTAGTCTTTGAGCTATTTCACAACTCTGTAGAGATTAAGGTTCATTTGTAAAAAAAAAAAAAAAAAAGCTGATACTAATACAAATAATTCTTATCTATAGACTTGAAAATAAATTCTATCTGGTGAAGGAACACACCTCCTTCCCACAGAAAGGTCAATTTTGTATCTATTTGCTAATTTATTTTAAAATTCCTGAGCTACAAATGTGTGTCCTTTGCATTCTCCTTTAAACCAGTTGTGACATCCTATAGATCTCTCTCTCTCTCCTTCTTTTTTTTTTTTTTTTTTTTAAAGATTTACTTATTTAAGAGGAAGAGTGAGCACGAGTCAGGGGAGGAGCAGAGGGAAAGAGTCTTCAAGCAGACTCCCTGTTGAGCGTGGAGCCTGACCCAAGTCTTGATTTCAAGACACAAGAGATCATGACCTGAGCTGAAACCAAGAGTTGGACACTTAAGCAACTGAGCCACCAGGTACACCTACAGATCTCTCTTTTAATCGACGAGTTAAATAAATAAAATATTTCACATATGTTCATTTTATATTTGTATGAGACCCATGATTTTACCTGTTTTGGGAAGTCATCCCTTAATCCCATTGTCTCATTAAACTTTCATAACACTCTTACTTTCCAGTGGAATGGATTAGAGATTAGACATTGATTCATTCATTCAACTGGTATTTGTTAAGTGCCTATTATGTGGCAGGAGCTATTCTGGAGGCTGGGGATGCAGTGGTGAGCCAGAGAGAACTCATGGAGCCTGTAGGAGGGCTGAAGACATTAAATAAACTCACAATAAATGTATTAAAAATCGTGATCATCTATGAAGGAAAAGAGTTGCTTAAGGAAATGACTTTTCCAGGCAAAGATAGAGGCACTTGTAAAGGCCCACAAGAAAATGTGCTTGGCCTGGTGAGGAGCAGGGGGAAGGGCACGTGGCCAAGGGTAGAGAAAGCAGTTAGCAGAGAATGGAGGGAAGGTCCAAGTCAAGCCTGCCTTGTTTGTAGAGTTTGGAGTTGATTAAACAAGACCAGAGAGCAATTTGCCTGAGGTCACACACAGCCTAAAAGTTTGGTTTGTGTACTGTGAGACATATATTCTTAACCACTGAAAAGGAAAGGAAAGGAAAGGAAAGGAAAGGAAAGGAAAGTAAGGCAAGGCAAGGCAAAGCAAAGCTTGCTTTCTATTTTGGATGTAACAAGATAATTCGAGAAAAAGTCAGAAAGTTCATCCTGCATTTTCCAAAACAACTCTCTCTTCTGGGTGTTGTTAATCCTTCAGCTCTGGCTGAACTTGTGTGAACCTGAGATGACAGCTAAGGGCATCAAGAACGTGTTAAAAAATCTAGACACTGTGTCCACATTTCCGCAGCTTGAGCTTTCCTGATGCTTCTATTACCTTGCATGGTACCAGACATATGGTGAGTAATCAATAAATATTTGTTGACTGACTGACTGATTAATCACAAATATTATGGCAGACCCTGTGTTCTCTGGTGGATTGTTGAGGGATGAAAATGTGATTTTTTTCCTGGGTCAAGTTGCCATGGCTCTAGATTCACCTTTGTTTTGTAGCAATTTTTTTCATTATGTCTATTACCAAAGTGGACACTGATTCATTGATTCATTCACTATTTCATTAACCCTAATTTGAATCAGGAAGAGTAGAAGATGGTACTATAAAGCAAGAACTCTGCTGCAGTCATTCCATCTTCCCAAGGAGTAAATATGTAAACTAAGTAAAATCACATGTCATGAAGATCTCTGAACAATAATGGTTTATAACTAGAAAAGTAATAGTTACAGTTGTGAGCTTCACACATTAAGGGACTTATAATGTTGCTGGGTTCTCCTGAGTTCTTCTGTTCTTCCTCAAGCAGTAGGTCAGTAGACAGACCAGAGAGAACTTTTTATCTCCAAAGACCAAGAGAACCTTTGGAAACCAACTTTAGGTCCAAACTATTCCAGACAACAGATGGAAAGTAAGATGGGAATAATTAAAGACCATCTCACTTGGTTGTATTTGACATACAAAAGGGGATCTACTTAGGCATTTTTCAACACTTCAGCCAATTAAATGAAGTAGCAGAGAAAAGTAGAGAAGGTACTTAAAATACTCAGGTCTTACTCATTCATTTACTTGCTCTTTCATTTGCTTATTCATTCAACCAACATGGTTCTGGACACTAGGGATACTGAGATGAAGATGATATGACCTTTCGTTTAAAAACTAGAAATCCACTGGTTTCACGAACACTAGAATTTAGACTGAGACATGATGATTTAAATGCCATTACATTAATTCTGGCTTCATATTTTTGCATAATAGTATATTGAGATAAATTTTTTAAGTGCTACCGGAATAGCATCAGAAACTATCTGCTAAAAAAAAAAAAAACAACTATCTGCTCAGAAGCTTGAAAATTTCTAATAATATCACATATATACAATGATAATTTTAACATGTAATAACACCAACATCTCAATCAATATTAATTCAGTAGGACAATGGGTTTTAGAGGTGGAAGGGACTCTAGTTGTTGTCTAGTCCAACCTTCTGATTTAGAGAGGAGCAAAATCAGACCAGGGTGAAGACCCCGACTTGTCTGAGGTCACCTAGGAGAATTAGTGGCTGAGCCCGAATTCAAACCCAGACCCCCTATCCCACATCCCACCTCAATGCTCTTTCCCATAGACTCCACAGCACATAAAATGGTCATTGAATCACTAACCTTTCCTGGCATCTGCTTGGAGGACAGGGATGGGCGTGAAGTAGGGATTAGTGCGATGAGAGGCTGGTAGAACTGTGAGGTTCGATATGGTAGACCCTTTTATTAACTTCTGAACATTTACCTAGACAATCAAAAATCTGTTTTCAGTAGGCAGTTTTGCTTTCAAAAGGAGCACAGTTTTCTTCTTGTAAACAATAAATAAGATTATGAATAGTTTCATTAAGTTTTAATAAAGTAGCGATAGCAGCTCCAATTTTATTGCTCATGAGTACCCTGTGCTATTGTCTACTGTCAGGAGTTTGTGTAATTTAAAATAGTTAATTAAATGCAATTAACATGTTGTGATTTCTACTATGCAAAGTCACTATAGTAGTTAATAAAGGAACTATTAAGATTTTGTTCAATTTTAATGACTATGATATAAAAGTGCTAAATCTTGACAGAAGAGGTTTTGAATACAGCAAAGTTTTGTACAGGCAAATTTCCTAGGAAATCATATTAGGGTTGTGAGAGTTTAAAAAAAAAATGAGAAAACTGGGAGAATTTCAAGATAGATATATCAGGGGTCCCTGGGTGGCTCAGTTGGTTAATTGTCTGACTATTGATTTTGGCTCAGTTCATGATCTCAGGGTTGTGAGATGGAGCCCTGCTCTTAAGATTCTCTCCCTCCCTCTAAAACAAACAAATAAACAAAAGGTTAAAAAAAAGAGAAATATATCAGTCAACATTAATAGGTTAAAAATGAACTTGGAGGGATGCCTGGGTGGCTCGGTTGGTTAAGCAGCTGCCTTCGGCTCAGGTCATGATCCCAGCATCCTGGGATTGAGTCCCACATCGGGCTCCTTGCTCATCAGGGAGCCTGCTTCTCCCTCTGCCTCTGCCTGCCACTCTGTCTGCATGTACTCACTCTCTCTGACAAATAAATAAATAAAAATATTTAAAAAAAAAATGAACTTGGAGTAGACTCTGGAAAATCTCAGAGAGAGTTAAAGACTTGATATCTGAATCAGTTACAGTAGATGATTACCTTTTCTAAAGTCATTAAATGCCTTTTTATAGTTATGAAATATGAATTGTTCCTATTAAATGGTTTCTAGCTTTTAAAGACTAATATGTATTACATATAAATCACATTTAATTGTATAGCTCAAGTACACTATTTTTACCTTTATTAGAAGAGGTTATGAATTACCTGAGCCCTCTCAGCAGGGAAGAAGCAGCTGTTTGGTATTTATAGACTGATTTAAATGTTCAAATCATTTTCCAAACATTAATTAATCTGCATAACTTCTAAAGGAACTAGGTAACAATTTGCTCTTTAACTAATAAGGAACTAAGACTGAAATGTTCGTAGATTTGTTGAAGGTCACAAAGTACGCTAGAAATACTATTCGATTTTAAGATTAATCTGATTTTACATTAGTGAAATTTGCCATTGGACTCAGTTTTACCATATCTTATTGCTCCTCAAGGTAATGGGAAAAGAAAGGGAAATTCATGAAGAGTTGTGGGGGGCCAGGGGGCAGGGAGAAAATCACCTCCCCGAATAAGTATCTCTTGGCTAAAAAATGTCTGAACAAAGGATGGTGGGGCTTAAGGGAAACTGTAAACAACTACCATCCTGTGAACACCAAATGTTTGGTGAGGACAATTTAAAATGACCCTAAGTAGGTTGTGGTTGTGGTTGTTGTTTTTTTAACAGGAAGGAGTAAACAGTGCAATTTCCTGTCCTTCCAGGTGAATTGGAAGAGGAAAGGGGAGTATCATGGGCGTTGCCTTTTTTTTTTTTTTTTTAAGATTTATTTGAGATAGAGAGGGAAAAGCAGAGCACAAGCATGGGGAGGGGCAGAGGGAGAATGAGAAGCAGACTCCCCACTGAGCAGGGAGCCCCACATAGGGACTCCATCCTAGTACCCTGGGATCATGACCTGAACCAAAGGCAGATGCTTAACTGAGCCACGCAGGTTCCCCTCCACAGGCCTTGCCTTAATGACAGCGAGGAGTTCAAGGGCATGTCATGTCATTATGGAAATTCCATCTTGACAATCCACCTTGGTCTCTTTCTCATCCTCAGCAATCCTCGCCCCACCTCACCCCCCAGACCCAAGACCTCACCCCCAGACCCAAGTGGCCTCCGGGATGTCCCAGTCACCCACGGTACTGTACCGCTGGCATGGCCCGTGCATAGCTGATTTTCAGTAGCAAAAAGGGAAGGGTCTCCACTTGTCTGATTGATATCAGGGTCAGGGAGGGAAAGGTAAATCGGAGGAAGAGAGAAGGATTCCACTTAAATAAAATTGTCAAGCACCGTGAAGAGGTAAAGTACAGGTTTGGCAGTTTCGAGGCACAGAGCATCATTTATCTGGATTTTCTGAAAGTCTTTGACAAAGTGCAGCCGACAGCCTGCTCTTGACAGCCCAAGCAGCAGGATCCCACATAAACCACAATGTGAAGTGTGACACAAGGGAGAGGTTGGAAGGCAGGTGATGCTAGCATCCGGTCAGGCAGTCAGCACGCTCATAACCCTGGTTTCTTTAATTGTTTCAATTGCGTCTATCTCAACCATGTGAAGCCAGATGTGGTGTGTGCGCATGCGCGTGCGTGTGTGCGTGCGTGCGTGTGTGTGTGTGTGTGTAGGGGCATAGAGAAGAGAGTTACACCTGGGGGCTGACATCTCATCGAGATCACAGAAAGAAATGAGCCCCCTCCGCCGTCCGGCTCCCCCGGTGAGGACGACATCCTGCATGTGTGCTGGCTTGGAGGGAGAACGCATGTGCAACCTTCAGCCCTCACTGAGCACGTACTATAGAACGCTAACTTGAGTGCAATGGGCATTAAGTTTCAGGAGGGATGGGCACGCTCAGGGCAATGGGAGTGCCGAAGAGGGAGTTACTGACCCTGCATGCTGGCAGTGAAGAAGGCTTCAAGGTGACTCCCCCCGAGCTCTATGTTAGAATCTGTCAGGGAGCTTTTTAAAAATACTGCTGTCTGGGCCCCAACTCTGGGCCAATAAATCCGCATAGCTGGGCTGGGGCCGGGGCCTCACGCTCCCCGGGTGATTCTGATGTGCAGCCAAGGTTGGGATGGACTGCAGTAACTGAAAATTGTGTCTTAAAAGAAGCACTGAATTTCAGATCACGCGGAGAAGAGGATGCAATTAGAGAGAGAATGGTGGCGACAAAGCAGGACACAACACAGATGCGTGAAGATTTCAGGGAAGGTGAGGATCTCAGATGGCTGGAGTATGGTGTGTATGCCAGGAGTGCAGGGTGGGAGACAAAACTGGGGGAATGGTAGGTTGGCGCAAATGGAAGAAACCGGCTTTATGAAAGTGCCGATTGCCTAACAGAAGTTGAGTATCATCTGCTTCTGGCTTCTCCTTTATGTCATGCTTTATATTTGGGGGCTGGAACCAGGCTCTGTAGCTTGTATAACATGATATGGACTACCATAGAAAGAGAACAATGTTCTTTGTAGCTGGTGTGTCATGGCTCTTTCCAAAACTCTGTCGCTTTATGCCTAAACCTTCCATAACAGCTTAATTGTTTTTCAAAGTTAAAAAATATATATAGAAAAGCTTAAAAAAGAAAACAGCAATCATATTCCTGCCAGCCAGAATTAATCATTGTTAATATCTTGGTATATTTGCTTCTAGTGTTTTCAAATAGAAAAACCATTCTATTTTATGATTCTGGTAAAAAATGATATATGTTCATTATAAAGATTCCAATTAATGCAGAAAAACACAAAGATGAAAGTTTAAGAAACCATGCCAAACATCATTAGGTGATCCATTATCCTGACATCTTTGGAATGATTAATATATCATTTTATAAAAATAGGATTTATATTACATTATTAAACTTAATTTTTGACATGAATTTAATAGGAGGGGGAAAGGCTGAATTAAACTCAACAAATTATTAAATGTCAAGTCAATATTTTTTACCACAAGATTCCTAGGAGTTTAAAAAGATTCCTCTGCAAGGGTTGGCAATTTTTTTTTAAAGGGCCAGACAGTAAATGTTTTAGGCTGTTCTGGTCCGTTGTTATAGCTGGAAAATAGCTTAGACAATATGTAAACAAATGGTGGCTCTATGTTCTAGTGAAACTTTATGTACAAAAACAGGTGGTCTGCCCTCAGGCAGTCGTTTGTGGACTCCTACCCTGCAGTTAAATAAAGGTGGTTATGAAAAACATTTAGGTTTTTTTTAAAATTGCGTTTTAAATTTGAATAATATACCCCATCTTCAAAAGATGAGAACATTAGAACTCTCTTGCTACCCATATCCCCCTTCCTCACCTCCCAATTTTTTATTATACTATTATTATTATATTGTCCAGATTTATAATATCCACATTCTGTTTTGAAACCATAATCGCTAGGATTGTTTAGTTTCACCCTACGTGTAAATGGATCCCCTGTCATGGCTCCTCTATGCTTAAGTTCCTCATTTTGATTGACTTTTTTTCCTTTTTATTTATTTTTAAAATTTTATTTATAATCAATTAACATATAGTGTATTATTAGTTTCAGGGGTGGAATTTAGTGACTCATCAGTTGCATAGAACACCGAGTGCTCATTACATCAAGTGCCCTCCTTAATGTCTGTCACCTAGTTATCTCATCCCTCCACCGACCTTCCCTCCAGCAACCCTCAGTTTGTTTCCTACAGTTAAGAGTCTTTTACAGTTCATCTATTTATTTATTTTTGAGAGAGAGAGAGAGAGAGACAGTGATAAGAATGGGGGAGGGGCAGAGGGAGAGGAGAGAGGATCTTGAGCAGACTCCACGCTGAGCATGGAGCCCGATGCAGGGCTCAATCTCATGACCCTGAGATCATGACTGAGCCGAAATCAAGAGTCAGTTCAACTGATTGGGCCACACAGGCTCCTCTATTTTAATTGATTTCTTAGTTGCCTGCCTTTGGTTAAAAAGCAGTCCTTTCCAACAAGTATTCATGAATATTTATACTTGAATGATACCTGGGGTCATCCTTTCTTTTCTCAAAATTTTGCAGACACTGACCCATTGTCTTCTACAATGACTATTGTGAAATCTGATGCAGCCTGATTCCTCACCCCTTGTCGGTGATTTTTCTTTCTGCCTGGATGTCTGAA